TCATTTTTTTTAATATATTATAAAAATTGCTTTATTTCATAGTAGATATGTAGATATGTAGATATATAGATAAAAAAGGGGGAAATAAAACTGTCGTCGTTTTTCCAGATTTCTTTATCCTTTTGATTATTTGTCTTGCAAATTTTTTTTTTTTATTGAGGTGAAAGAATTATACAAAAGTAAAAACCAATATGATTTTTATATTAAAATTTTACGTTTAATTGTATAGAGTAATTAATGTTTGAATTTTTAATAATTACTAAAGTTTTGTTTTTAAATTTATATTGAGTAAAAAACGTTGTACAAGGGAGACTCGGGAAGGCCGGAACGTGGTCCTGCATCCAGGGCAGAGGGATGGCCGAAACACGCGTAAGGCGAGGAGTTGGAAGAGGAGCATTGAACCTAGGGGTGGATCTCCAGGAGTTCGATCAACATTTAATAAGTCTGAAGATAGTTGTCCACCTAAAGAGTTTGGTACTCGGTGGGAGTATATATTTTGTTAAGTATCCTTTTTTTTTTAAATTTTATTTATCATTAATACACGCCAATATTAACATGTAAGATTAGCTTGATAAAAATTAGTAATCATAGTCAAATTGACGTTTGTCCAACAGATTATTATGTTTGTTATTACTCGAATAATGTTATTTTCTATTTTTTTTGTGCCATCTTTGGAAATCAAAAAATAAGTAAAATTTTAAACGAAGGTGGGAAATGTAGGTGCGCGGGTGCAGTTTGCTTCTATTTTTTTTTGAGGAGAGTATGGGGTTAGCATCTAAGATAGGTAGGGTTAATTTTATTTGGGAAGGGGTTGTCAATCAATTGGATGAAATAGTGCCAAATCTACTACTGTAAGTTTTTTTTAAAAATGCGTTACAAATATTGCTAAACATCGACCAAATCTACATATCGCGATACAATCTCTTTTTCAGATAAAAATTATTTTTTTGGAATATTTTCTGTTATTTATTTTTTTTAAATTTAAATTTAATTTAAAAGAGTTGTTAGAATTCAATGAGTTAACTCAAAATTCATGATAGACAATGAACACTAAAATAATGGATTCATGGTAAATAATGAGGAGAATTAATTTAATTCATATATATGAAAAATAATCCTTCCACACTCACAATTTTTTCATGGTTGATAGTAGATTATAGAGAATTGTGGTTTTTCTGTTTAATATATATGTATATATATATATGAAGAGATTACCATTAAAATTAAATACGTGCCATAATAGGGAGCGAAAAAATTGTTGGGGTGGAGAGGGGGGAGTAGTATTTAAGAAGGGTTTGCTTACAGTGAATATTCTGTTCTGTTATGTAGACGCTGAGTTTAGAAAGCCCCCTAATATTTAAAAATGTTTCCACTGTGTATATATTTAATGCATATAAATTTCATTTTGACATAATTCAAGAGTTAAGCGATGCTAAAGAATAATATTTTTTGAATGTGTTATAGATGATTGATACAAAATAAAATACTTCTTTGATTCTTCCAAATATCTCCCTAATAACTGAAAATTTACTATCCAAAAACTCAAAGCTATGATTGGTCTAAATGATCCTTAACCCAAGAAAATCAACGTTTTAATATTATTTTTTTTAAAATAAATAAATATATATCTTAGGTATATTATTGACATAAAATTTACTGGCCATCATAAAATTAAACATTTTTCATTTTTTTTATTATCGAAATATTATTTATTATTTTTAATAATATTATTGTAAAAAAATTTATTTTAAAAAATTATTTTATTTAATATTTATCGTAATTTATAAATAGTGGCCTGATTTTATATATCACGTGTTAAAACTCGTGATTTCTTTGTCCAAAAAAAAAGTATAAAAAGGACGAGGTTTTTAATAATTATAATAACTTTTTTTTTAGTGGATATATAATTTTGTTGGCCAATAAAATTTGGAGCAGAAAATTTATCGATTTTAGTTTTAGAGTGGTGTTGGTAAATTGTATGAGTTATAAAATAGCGTTGTACTGGTAGAGCGTTGTAGTATATAATTTTCATGTAGACTATCTACTGATTACCGCTTAACAATTAATTGCAAATTAAATCTTAGGTTATCAGTGGCATAGCCAGGATTTATACATGGGGGAGGAGGGGGGGTTAAATTTTTTAGGGGCCTCGCCTCTAAACCCCATTTTTCCAGCCTTTGGCCTGACCCTAAAAAATATATAATTTAATTTTTCAGTAGTTATCTTTATATCATCTTCGATAAAGTTGGCTGAACAATTGGAAATACGAATTCTAAAATTTGTCAATTGTGCCTTTATTAGTTTCTAACAACTATAGTAGCCAGTATAAATGAAAAATATATTGGTAACAAAATTTTGGCCAAATTCCTTATTAATAAGCGACTAAAAGCATTATTCTGTAAATTTTACCAATTTATAAGTGTTCAATTTTAAATTAATTCAGTTCATTCGGGTTAGAAAGAAAAGACAATCCAAACGTCCCATTATTTATGATCACTCAATATATCTTATATTAAAAATTATTAATTTAATTTTTTTGCACATAACAAAATTTTACTGAGAATTTCGTTATAGATTTTATTTATAATTAAAAGACTTTGGTATTTTATTGAAAATAACTGAATTTAAAAAAAATATATTTATTTGCAATAAAATATAAGTAATTTTTGTTGCAAATAACGGTATTTAAAATAAATATAATATAACAATTACAATTAATACAAATGACTATATTATCAATATATAAATAATTCTCATTGCAAATTCAATACATTTATTAAAAAATATATAAATATGATAAGAGAATTTATTATAATTAAGTTTAGCATATAAATTTTATGACAAATAACATATTATTATCATATTGCAATTTTATAATTTGAATCTATAAAGAGAGGTCTACTTTTTTCTGAGATTTGGCTAGTTTAGAATCAAATTTTTATCTAGAATATTCTCATTATAAATATTTAATATGGCTAATCCATTTGAAGGGTTTTTACTGGTGCTATTTCTTAAATAGGTTTTTATCATTGTCAAAGTTGAAAAAGATCATTAGTGCAGATACTAATCAGAAGGTAGCTAAAATGAAAAACAATGTTTTGATATAAGGCAGGAATCTAAAATTGCAATTACACACGGAAAGGGACTGTAAAGCATGTCTCAAAGAGTACTCTATTCTATCAAGATTTTTATACCAACATTGGAAATCACAAAGTAACTTATCACACGATCCTGATTGATCATCAGATTAAAACTCTGAAATTTTCTTGATATCCTCTTGAATTTGGAGTGTAATCAGCAAATCAGACTCAACCAACAAAAAAAAATATGCTTTTTTAAAATAAAATTAATTATAGCTAATAAATTTTTCCCTTAATTGAGAATAAAATATGTATCAATAAGAGGAATAAAAAAATATATATATTATAAAAATCCTCAGTTGTAGATGCATCAATTTTATAAGCGAGTGGATTGTGCGAAAACTACTCTAGGTTCAAAAATTACAATCCTAAAAATATTAACGATCTCCTTTACTTCCTCTTTAATCTCGTGAAATTTTTTGGTCCACATTACCTCTGATATTTGCTAATATTTCTACAATATCCTTTGCCCCATTCATAACCTCCCTTAAATCTTAATCAATTTTTATTAGCATTTTGCTAAAATAATGTATAATTAAATAAAAAAACAAACTCATTGAATTTATACACAAAATTGTGACTCCAATTCTGCAAAAGATTTTAAGTGTCTGCAGAATCCTTTTCTTTTCTTTTCTTTTCTTTTCTTTTCTTTTCTTAAAATGGAGTATTCGAGGGCTGCAAAAATTACTTCATATAATTCGATGAAGTCTCACTGACTGTTGACATTCGATACATGGGCATTTTAACATCACTAATTTGAATTAATGTTTTTAAAAAAATACATTTCGAGATATGCAAATATAATTTAATTTACATCCTCGGCTCTACTATGCCAGAAAATATTTACAATATATCTTTATAAACCCCCCCCCCCCCCTCCTGTTATTTAATATTTTAGTTCATACAATTTTTAATTTAGATTTTTTAAAATATATTAAACCATATGATAATTTAAAATTGATAAATTATTTTATTTCTGCTAATATGGTTTAAAAATTAAATAGATTTCGATACAAAATTACTTTATTTTAAATTTATTTATTTAAAATATAACTAACTGACTATTAACCTAATAAATTCGATATATACTTAATTTTCAAAAGAAAATAGCAATCAATGTAACTATCAGATCAATATTTATATTATTAAGTTAAGTGAAAGAAATAATATAACAAGTCCGTTAGGTAAAATTTAAGTTAATATAAATCAAAATATCAACAATTTCTAAATTGATTTTTAATTAAAATTATTCGCATAGAAAATAATTATTTTTAATATATTTTTTCTAAAAGTTATTGAAGGGTATTAACCACAAATCCCCCCCCCCCTTGTCTACGACCTTGGAGGTTATCCTCGAACATATGTTTTTAAAAAATATTTAGAATTATTAGATAAATTGCTGCTGTAGTCAAAGAAGAGCACATATTTGTGTAAATTAGGATTAAAGAAGTTATTAAATAGATCTAGTGTATTTATATATTTAAAATAATATCTTAGAATTTATTAAAGTATTAAATATCGATTTCTATTTCTAATTTGTTCAGGTTCTCAAATTTTATATGTGGATACAATTAGCATCATTGTCGCAAATTTAAAAAATATTTTTTAAACCATATGGCAATTCATTATTTTACCAAATATGCAAGATTTATGGTTAATACTTTGCCTAAGAATAATCCACTCATATGTAAAAGTCAACAAGTTAGATTATTAATTATTGACATAAATTAAGTATCTTTATAATTTATAATTGAAAACTTAATATCACACTACTAGAATTATAAATTTTTATAACCTTAACAATTTAAATATCCATATAATATATAAACTTTAAATTAATGTATAAAAACAAAGCTAATGTTAGATTATGGATTTATAGCTCATTCTAGTGTTCCTGGATGTTACAATATTCTTCCCCTTGGCCAACGAAGTCTTGACAAGTTAACATCATTAATTGATTCAATGATGAAAGATGAAATAGGGGCTCTTAAATTAACTCTCACCTCATTATCGTCAAAAGAGTTATGGCTAAAAAGTGGACGTATCACAGATTCCAACAAAACTGATAATGGGAAAATGGAAAATAACCAAATATTTGAATTGCATGACAAAAACAGCAAAATTTTATGCCTTAATCCAGTATATGAATCAATTATATTATGTATTCTTATAATTTACACAAAAAAATTAAAAGAAAGTTTGATTATCTTTTGTAATTAGAAGGTCTGATCTTTTATATGGATCAAAGGCCATTAAGAATCAACTGATTTAGACCATGGATCATAAAAAAGTCCAATCCAAGACTAGTCTTTTCTTTTTATTTATTAAAATAGATTATGCTTATAGGCTTATAATTTTATTATATATCAAGATATTCTATTTCACATACACACATATATATGATAAAATAATTAGTAAAGTGATTTATTCTAATTGCATCCTATATCCTTGTTTATAGAGGTTTTTGGATTTGAATCAGAGAATGTGGTTGGCGTAATTCCTTTTTTATTCTTTAAGAGTAATTCACATGATAATTTGCATGGTCTTATCAGAAAATTCATTTCTTTATTTTATGACAAGATCACCTACTTTGAAAAATATTTGTTTACAAAGAATATGTGCTTTTATCCATAAATTTCTAAGCTTTGAGGGGGAGGGGTGAATGAATCAAAGCTCTAATAGAAAAGAAAATAAACACTATTGTTAAAATGTTTATTAAACAACCAGTTCATACTGGATTGCTACTAAAAGACTGGTCCAATGTTTTAGAAAGACAACGTTAATAAAAAAAATTAAAAGAGATGTTATTATTTTTTTTGGTGTTTTTTTTTTGCAACAAGCAAAGGAATAGAAATATTTAACGAATCACACTAGAGGTCGGCATTGGTCGGGTTTTTTGCCCCCACCCTGCCTATAATTTGAATAAGCATGGTCGGGTTTTTTTTAAAAATATTTTCAACAATGGGCGGTGACAGGCGGGTTGAAAATTTTAAAGTAGTAGGTCGGGCTTTTTGGCTAAAAACCCACACATTGCAGACTTCTAAGTCAAGTCGCACTATCAGCCAAAATTGCCCATATTTTAAAATAAAACGATGAGATAGGTGATTAGGGGAATAAAAAAATGTATATATACATCATCCGTGATGATTGACGCTTAACGCCTTGCGCCATAAGAAACGGAAAATTTTTTTAAGAATTTTTGGTTTTTGCCAATAGTTCGCAGCAAGTTGTGTGCCTACGTTTTTTGCGTATTAAAGTAGTGTTGTTAAACGGCTCAGTTTGAGCCGACTTTTTAAAAACGGCTAACTCGTCACTCAATATTTTATCCAGAAAAATATTCTGCAACCCCTAAAGAATTCGCTCTTAGATGGCACATAGCGAACATCTGTTGGCGAAATCTTCCTGGCTATAATGTTGAGTGATGTGATTTGTTAGACATTTATAAAAATTGGGTCAAAATCGTAGCCGTTTTTTGATTTTTTTTTATTATGACATTGTTTCAAAGATATGATTGGCAGATAAAAATTGACGTGATTATCGGATCGATCGATATCGGTTTATTTTCGAGAGTTATAATTTTAAATTGTACAATATCTTGTAGGGGTCAGGGCTAGGTGGGAAAGCCCATATTCCTAGTGGTAGTAAAAATTAATATATATATCATTTTTTCAAAAAGAGCGCCATAATATATAAAACATCTATGTTTTAATCGAAAATTATATGTCACGCGGTCAGTTATAAATACATTGGGGGGTAGGCTTGTTTTTAAAATTTTAGCCAATAAAAAAAGGGGGGAAAAATACTTTCGCTAAATGACTCATTTAAAATGAAATGGTGAGGAATAACGAGCGAAAAAAATATTTTATTTTTATTCATTAATAAATATGTAAATTAGAGTTGCACCAATACGGGTTTGACCGATATAACTATCCGAAACCGATAAATACGGTTTGAACCTATATCACTAATATCAGAAACCGGTTTATCGTTTTTTGATAAATCAGCTGCATATTCAAATTTTTTTTTATTAACACAGACTCACGAAGAAGCCATTTGCGATATGCTATCCTCTCTAGGCCCATTAAATGTGACGCTTTCTTCGTCTTCCGGAAAAACTAAAACGACCGATTTTGATTACCTCGGTGACGCTTCTTCAACACCAACTGCCACCCAAAACGCCCATCAATCTAAGGAAGAGTTTGATGACCGCTTCGAAGATCGAAAGGCTTCCCCCCGAATGGACAAAGAGGCCATTGTCGATGACGACCTTCTCCTGGTGTACCAAATGGAGAAGAAGTTCAGGGACGAACCAAAACCCAAGTTGGGACTAATGCGTTGCCGAGAATTCGTTATGAAGGACTGTTACGGTTTCCACGCCAACGAGACGAGCGCCATGAGGACCTACCATACGATCAACTCCGTTTACGTGAAATTCTTGAATTCTTTATTCAACGCGAAAAACGGCTTTACCGACAGCGAAAGTAACAGCTCCAAATTAGACTTATTTTCTCTTTTTTTCTCCTTAAATATTTATATTTACAATAATTATAAACGCTTTTTAATTTAAAATTTTTTTTTGGATTATTTTCAAATGGCGAGGTGGGAAAGGGAGGAGTTCTGACTTTGACCTCTGCTTTTATATCAAATAAATTCTATCCGTTTGGTCCCATTCCTACTCGTTAAATTGACGGCTGCCGATCTAATTTTAAAACTCAGTCAGGTAATCGACTTTGGATTTCTAAGAATAGCGCGTTTCTAGCTCGAATACCTAGATTTTTTTTTATTTGACCCGATAATGAATAGGCGAAAAAATGGATGCTAACCACGAAGGATATTTCCCCGTTGGATCTCACGCTGCTCCCGATTATGTTAACAACGCGACACCGAACGTGATAAGAGTGAAGACTCGTCAGGAAGGGAACAATACGGGTTTGATGGACGGCGCCAGCGTTTTATCTCACGAATTTCACTTGCCCTGCTCGGTCGGAGAGGACTCGCTCTTGCAGTGTGGCGGATGCGGCGCTTTCAGCTTGCCAGCGCAGCCAGGTTTTTTTTCTTAACCGTATTATTTAAAAGCGACTTACTATGTGAATATTATAATGTTCTATGTCTATCTTTCCCTCTCAAACTTTTTTTTTGTTTAAAAAAGAAACGATAGGAAGTAATAAATATACGATACTTGTATTTTCGATACAGGAAGTTAATATGATATTGCTAAAGTGAAATGAGTCATTTAACTTCCTTTTTTTTTTAATATAAATAAAAAAATGGCTATAGAACACTTTAGAACCTCAACCGACAAATTTCGCAAATAATTTCTAACGAATGGGGTATTTATTCTTTTATAGCAAACGAACCAAAATGAAATTAACACAGATATTGCCTCTTCGGGTATCCCCGACAGAAAAGAATCGCCGAATTCGACTATGGCTCAAGCAAATCGTTCTTTCAGCACCGCCCAGAATCCCGAACCCAACGCTCATCATTTTTTGACACCCTCCTCGATCCAACCTTCTTTTCCCTCCCGTTGTCCGGAATGCGGACTAACGGATAATTCGCGCTCTATTCAACACCGACGCGTTCCTTCCGTAGAGTTGGGCCACGCCTTTTACCTCGGAACCCGGTTCAGCTTACCCTTTGGCCTAGTCCACAACAACGTTAACCGCGACACCGAACAAGATGGCACTACGGGGTACCCCCATTTTATTTTTTGAAATATCGTCAGATGCCAAATTTTTATGTTTTAAAACCTGTGCCAATGGCGTTTGTAGTTCTTCACTTCTATATTTGAATCACCATCTTTGAAACAAAATTTAAACCAATGACATATAATAATACCTAGACTAACGATTCATTCATTAAAAGTGTACATCAATACAAATCAGCTAGAGACGCCATCTTGGTTACTGTAATAAATATTAAAATTTTAAACGAGAGCCTAATTTTATATTATATCTGATGCAAACTTTATTAAAGAATTGCCTGTTCATTGAGATAATAAGAAAGTAAGTTATCAATTTAATATTAGTTTTTAACATGAAAATAATTATTATAAAGGTTACCAAAATGGCGGGTCCAGCTGATTTGCTTTTAACGACGCTTAAAAATGCATTTTAATGAATGAATCGTCAGTCTAGATATTATTATATGTCATTGATTTAAACATGATTACTTACTAACACCCTCGTGTATATTTCTTTTTAAAGGGCCATTAATACTATTAAGAAGAAGAAAATGCATATTGGGTTGGAGGGGGGTGGGTGAACTTTAACGAGTTCTGCAACATTTTATTGCAATATTAGGATCGGTATGGGAGGGGGGGCAAACAGAATGGCTTTTCTAGACTGAACATAAAGCGCTTCTTTTGAATCGCCTCCGTTAGCCTAAAACTGAGAAAGTGCATCAGGGTTTATCCGAATTTTTTTATTTGGGTTATTTTTAGGTTGACTAATCAGGCCATCTTGCCACTCTTATCGCCATTTTTTCCTGGCTTGGTAACCGCCACTGTACCAGAGGCTTATAGAAAAAGTCTAACATCTCACCCTTAATAGGTTAGAATGGGTCCCTTGATATAATTAGAGATCCCCTATATACGTTATGAAATTTTATTTTCCTCCCCACCTGTTACACTGGGTTTGCGGGAATGTACGCGTTTGCGTTGAACGCATCAACGTTAAAAAAATGATTTTGCTTTCGTGTATAATAAATTCCTTACCTCTTACAAAAATACTAATTCGTAATTTTTTTATAATTCTCCCTTAAATAATAATTTCTTTTTATTTTTTTTCTCCCCAAAAATTGACAGTCACGTCAATAACGCCCACGAAGAGGTCCTTCACTCAAAAGACACACCAGTTCGGCCAACCGCCGCCTCGCGCTACGTCCACATGACATGTTACGGCATAGGCGTGACACGTTTGTTGGCCGCGGTAGTGCAGCATTTTGCCGAAAATGGAAAACGTCTCAACAATACCTACGATGAGGATACTACGGAGAAACAACAAAAAATTATTGCGATTGGTCTATTTTTTTTTTTACGTAAAATAGTTTCATGTTGAGCAACTTGAATTTTCAAATTATAAATATTAACATGATTGACGGGTTTAATCAGCTGGGAATTATTTAATATTCAATATTTATATTTTTTTTGTCCTTAATTCATTTGGAATTATCATATTAAAAAAAATTAATATAATTTATATATTATTTTTAGAAAATTTCTATATGAACGAATGCGTGCGATGGCCCCTAGTTATTGCTCCTTTCAAGGTGGCCATAATCCATCCAAAAGCTGGTAGCAAAGAAGAAAAGGCTTTGGCGGGAAATGGTTAATTTAATTTTAAGTCATGTGACTTGATAAAAATATTTTTTAAAAAATAAATAATAAAAATTAGAAAATTTGGCTCGCATTCTCCTATCCAAATTTCCGAATTCGCTCAAAGACGATATTTTATGCGACGATAGATGGCGCTACACGGTTGGTAGACGGTTAGCGGATATGAAAAGGATAGGCATCCCTTATATCGTGCTATGTGGTAAAAAGGTTAAAAAAAAAATTTATTTTCAAAATTTCTTTAAATTACTTTTAAACCGATAACTTCAGAGATTTCTCTTAAATATTTTGGAGTTATAAAGCAAAAGCGTTTCTAGCTTTTTTACAAAGAAATTCTTTCTTTCTTTCTTTCTTTCTTTCTTTCTAATCCCCAAAAATTAAAAAAGAATTTGGCAACTTTAGGAAAATTATCCAAGTTTTTTTTTCTCTTTAATAATTAATTCTTAAAATTTTGTATTTATTCTTTCTAATATATTTTTTTCAAAAATATATATAATATTCAAAATTTTAGAGATCTCATACTTTTGTAACTATTTAAAAATTAGATTGGAAATCTTATGCATTGCTGATAAGATTCAGCAGATAGGAATTATGTTCTGAGATGTGGCTAATCAAAATTTGGGGTAAAATAGATCCCATCTTTGTAGTTAAGGTTGGTTTTTTTTCTTCACCCTTTTAGTCAAGGGTTAAAATGAAGGCCGGGTGAATAATAATAATAATAAAATGGTTTTTAATGCCACAAGGAAAAATTAATTATTTGTTTGAAATAAATCATAAAATTTCGCAAGAAAGGTAATCTAAATAAAATAGATTAATGTATTTATAAAGAAATAGGCTAAATTTTTTTAGAAAAGGAAAGCGTCTTATAACCCAAAGCACCTAATTAACGACGCCGTCTCTTCTTTGTAAAGATAGGAATACGTGAAGCGGAAAGCAAGAAACGGAATACGAAAGAAGTTGGCGGAAAAAGAGGAAGAACATTAAAAGATAAAATTAAAGGCCTTCTAACTCACATCCGACCAAATCAATTTTTTTTTAAAAAATTACCAACAATAAAATGTTTTTACGATTTGGAGCATGTTCTAAACGTTAACTCCTCCCCCCCCCCCAATCAATAAATAACGATTTTTATACAATTTTATCGCGCGTTCCTTTTAGGTATTAGAGCTCGAACCGAAATACGAATTTTGGGATACCCGCTATGACACATTCGAAAATCTGACGTTACCCGAATTGACGCGGAAGATGTCGAGAATATTTACCGTTTAAAATTGATTGACACCTAAATTATTTATATTTACGATCCATATTATTGTAAAATAATTGTTTGAATGTGAAACAAATAAGTAACTCCTTTAAAAGGCTTCGCGAAATTTAGACCCGGATCGCGGGAGGACAGATACATTCCCGAAGCGTTGTCATAAACAGACGAGAGATTAATTGTCAGGTGGTCTAATAAAAGTGTCAAGAGTATTTGAAAATAGGAGTAAGATCGGACTGGTCATAAGAAGTGAGGGGATTGGGTAGTGGGGTGGAATAATGAATCTCTTATTTTATAAGACGCCTGAGTGAGAGCGGATAATCATTTTACGAGACCTTATTTCAAAATTGGCGAACTGTGATTGGTCAAAAACTAACCTCGTCGGATAAATAAAAAATTATGGAAGAATAAGTAATCCGCATCCATTTAAATGTAGGGACGGTAACCGGAAATGAGAAGATTAAACATTTGTTTAGAAACATACAGTTATATCCGGAATGAAATTTATAATGCGGCAGCATTATTTTGGGTGGGTATGTCATTGCTAAGTATAATTACCTATTTCAAATGGCGGTTCCTTGGCTCTTGTATATTATTTTGGGTAAGGAACAGGGGGTGTATCCCCTTTCTCAGTTATAGCTGCTTACTTTTGAAATTAAAAAAAAATAGCACTTCAATAATATGGAAATTTGGAGAAAATTAATATCTTCGAATATAACAAACTCATTATTGAAATCTTGTTCAAAAAGCTTGGCTTCTGAAGGTTGTTGGGAACAAATTGCTATACTTTGTAGTTTAAAATTTTTTTCCCCCCAAAAAATGTGTTCCCGCTTATAATTTTCTTTCAAGCTTTCACCTCGATCTTCAGGAATATTGAACAAATACTATTTTTTTTTTTCACAATGTTGATAATGAAGTATTTTGCATGTCAAGGTTGTTGGAGGAATAAAAATATATATCATTCATAAAAACCTCAATTTGTATGACCCTGCACTCACAGTCAGCGAGAATTGGCGGGGGGGGGGGCATTATGCAAAATACGCGGTATTTTTGTATTCACCCACGTGATTTCCCGCTAACTGTGGAGTTAGGAGTTACCCGGCATTCTCAATTATCACGAATTTAATATCGCGAATTCGCTATGATTGTGAATGGCAGGATGATATGTAGTAGTATCCCGTTTGAACGCAACACAATTTTTTGACAATCTCTAAAATGGTAGAACGGTACCTTTTACAATTGGATAAAACTGTTGATAAATGTCAATCAAATGAATGTTGCCTCAAAATCGTACGCATAACTAATTCGCGCATTATAGGTGAGAATAAATGTTATCTCGTCTCACCCAATAGAAGTATGATGTACGTCAGTCATTTCATGCACTTAAAACTTTTAATACTCTTATTTTATTGGTTGGTTATGATATGATATATCAAATATAAATTTGTTATAATTATAATAGGATGATTACATTTAAAATAAAAAGATTTTTTTTTAATCTTTAAAACATATGTTACTATACAAGTATTAATACTATTCAAATTTGAAATTTTACAACAAATTTTAAAAAAATACAAAAACATTGAAATATGAAAAATTAATCTTTAAAAATACATGTCTTGTGCCACTTAATTAATTCTAAAGTTTCAACCTATTTTGATATAAAATTATGATGAGCTTGTTGAATTGTAGACGTATGTCAAAAAATACATGAAAAGACATTTTATATTCTTTGTACCAACAACCAATATAGAGTATTTAAGTGACCCGTTTAGAGGATTTTCTAAAATATTTTTTTTTTATAGAACTTGTTCCCAAAATGGAATCTAGAATACGCCAATATTTAACGCTATCGAGGCTACCCAAACCTGGCGTAAAATAATAGGATTAATAAATAAATAAAATAATTTCTAGCGAAATTTATTAAAATTCTATTTTCTTCAAAGAATTACTCTTCAACCCTTAATAATGTGGATTAAGTAGCTGTAACTTTAAAAAAAAAATTATTATTTGAAAGTATCTTTTACGTTTATGTCACGATCGATTCAAGATTTTACTCGAGTCAATTTGTTTTGGACTTTATACCTCAATCAAATATATATTCGCATACTGTTCATTGGTTCGCCAATCCATTTTTAAGAGACTTGTTTTATTTTATAATTAAAAAATGTTGTACTGTAGTCATAGCGTTTTTCTTATTACAGTAATCCCATTTCTAGTACGGTTTTTTTTTCTCTTCCTTCCTCGGAGTTTTTTTATAAAATCACTCACAGTGGTGTAAGGGTTTACTAGACGCTATCTGATTCCAGAAGTGCACGCCAGCCTAATTTCTGACTCAATTAAATATTCTTCCCAAACTCATTTTAAATTACAAGGTAAAATTCATCTTCTCCAATAAACTTCTCCAGATTATGCATTATAAAACCTCATCCTTTTTCCCTGTTTAAACCCAAGATAAAATATTTATCCTCGAATTCATTCGGTTAATTTTTTTGAATGTTTTTAATATTTCAAACTCTTTTTAAATTTTTTAAAAAATACGTTCTTTCCCCAAAAAATTAATTTTTTTTATTTAAATTTTCTCACTTATAAAAAAGGAAAGATAATTTTTTCTTATTCCTTTAGCGGTTGTATTCTAAAGCAATGGTAAAACAGAAAGAAACCATAGCATAATATTTATTCTTCAATCTTAATATCATGTTATTTTTATAAAAGAAACGACTTCAATAAATGGCTTTATTTTCCCTTCGTTAATCCTCGTTAAGTCGATACGAACGCTTCGTTTTTGTTTCTTTTTGTACCTAATTTTTTTATTTTGATGCCACAAATCAAAAACAGGTTCTGAAAAGGAAAGGTAGATTAATCTTTTGAAGTATTATTTTTTTACCAATTCTACAATTCAAATTTCTCGAAATTTTGATATATAATAATAATTAAAAAATAAAATTAAATAGTAATTGAACATTTTTTATAAATGAACTAATAATCTGAATTGGCAAGATCGTCTAATAATTCCAATTATATTTTTATAAAAATTAAAATGTAAATTTTTTTTTTCATGGAAATTTGTTGTAAAACTATATCGAGTGTTATTATGGGCATCGTGAGAAATACTTATAACTTTTCAGGATTTCCAGGCAGGGATCCAAACCGAACAGTTAAACCGCTAAAAACCGGTATTTTTTACCGAACCTAACGCTAAAAAAATTCCAGCCGACCTGAACCGAACCGCTAAAATGCCTCTGAACCGGTTCGAGTCTCATGATTTTATGCTTATAAAAATAATATGTAAGTTATTATTAGAAGATTACAATTATATTCGAATTATTTTAAAGATTATCATCAATCACACTTGATTGATAAGTGTCGGTCATAATTTTTATAAACTTTAGTATAATGTCATTTTACAACATTTTTTTAAATATTTTAAGCTTATAAATTATAATGCTTAGAGAAAAATTAAATCCAGGATATTATTATAAATGACGTACCAAATCTGATATCTGAAATGATTTGATTAATTTATTGTAAAGTGATTAATTTAATATTATCAGCTATATATATGTTTTTCTATTTTTATAAATTTATCTTTAAGCGAATATAAAAAATCAATATATTTAAATTTCATTTATATTCGTAAATTTTTATAAACTTTAGTATAATGTCATTTTACAACATGTTTTTAAATATTTTAAGCTTATAAATTATAATGCTTAGAGAAAAATTAAATCCAAAATATTATTATAAATGATGTATCAAAACTGATATCATATTGGCAGTGCCGGCAACTCAAGTTAGTGTGGAAACATGTTTCAACAATTAAATTTATGTCCTCTCCTTATAGATGTAATTTGAGTGAGCCGAGATTTGAAAATATATTTATTGTGCGGCTTAATAAAAAAAATTAAATAAAAAAAAGGAAAAATATTGTTCACATTAAAATTAATCATTGATATATATTTTTATATTTATATAAATTATAAATCAATTTTATAATGTGCAATCAATAAAAATGAAGGTTTTATATTCGTGTTTTTTAAATTAATGATAAAATTAAAAAAAATAATTTCCCTATACATAATTCGAATGTAGGTTTGAATACAAAAGTGTGCGGTTCGAACCGAAACGATACGAACCGAACCGAACCTCGAACCGTTATTTTTAACCGAACCGGAACCCGAACCGAACCGATATTCGTTTCGGCTTGGATCCCTGTATACATGCCATCTTCCCTGAGTTGTAAGGCCTTGTTATGCCTTAATTCCAAGATATTATTACGATTCCCATGCCGGTATTTGCAAAGAGTTTAACGCCAATAACTTCGAAAATTAAGATGACCGCGTACAGAAATGCCAACACAGATTCACAATAGCACCAAATCCAACCCCAAAGTCACATTAATTGGCAATTTTTTATCAATATTGAATAATATTGTATTTTTTTTATTTTTTTAAATATCAAATTAAATTTTCATGATAACATTTATATCGAAATTTAGGTAAATCTTAGACAGTTCGTCGTTGGGGTTAGGTATGGTAAAATTTTCATGCATAGCCTAAATAAATTTTTGACGCATCTCCTAGATTATCTTAACTTTGGTTCTTTATTCAGAGCTGCAGTAATTCTAATTACCGAAAAAAAGTCATTCTATAGGAAGAAAACTCATTTTTGAAAACCCTTATTTTATGACGTATCTGGATAAATGAAATAAATATAAAATTAATGTTAAAAATTATAATACTTATATAAACTTAATTTTAAAAAAAGCATTTCTATATTTTTATGGCCAATAATTTAATGCTTGCTTTGAAACACAAAACCACAGTTAGCATGAAATTAACTCATTCTCCTATTTTTATTTTTGTGGGGTGTGCGACGTCAAATAAGTTTTCATTGGCCTAAAAACGAAAATAAAAAAATTTAAATAAAATATGTAGAAATTATATGGTAAGTATATCTTTATTTTTATGTGTTTATTTTTTATTTTTCAGTGAATTTGGAATTTTTTAGTACAAATGAAGGAAAAACAGAAATTCCTGTCGTAGGATTTTTTAAAAAAAGGGTTGAACCTCTATTTGCCAAATCTCGAAAATTTTAGCTAAGAGTTCTTCATTAAATATATATACAATGACTAATAAACATTTTACATGTTAGAAATTATAATTTTAATGTTTTTCTCTCTGGATATGCTTCCTTTTCAACTCTGTATATGACAGCTTCTTATAAATTTTCCTACATTTTACCCCCCCCCCCTATCCTACGGATTTTTTAAAGGATTAACCTTCGAGTCATTAGACGCGTGGGCGGAGAAAATATCGTGAAGTGAACAACTCCCACATGGGGCAATCCCAATAAGGTTCACGATTCATAATGCCACCTTCAATGGCATTATTTTAAAACTATCTTATTTGGATAAATTTTTTTGTACAAAACAAGATTAAGATTTTGGCTAAACCCATATCAGGTAAGTCGCATGTAAGATTTCTCTCAGGCCTAATTTTTCGAGCCCAGCCAATATTTTTTTAAAATATTAAGCCGGAAGGAACCGAAAATTAGGCCCGAGCTCTTACCCGGCCAGAACGGGCTTCGGGCCGGGTACGGACCGGACCTACACTTGCATATCTCTAATCGTAACCGCTACTTCATCCGCAATTCGCACATCGAATATTTCTGTAGTCACTGTTATGTATCATTGGATTTTAATAAAAATTCGTGTGCTGACATAAAATTTTGATGAAAATTATAATATCTTCGGTTGATTATTCGAGTGGTTGCGTTTCCACACTTTTAATCAACATAGCCGATATTTTTTACAAAATATCTGTATAGAAAATGTGTAAAATTATCACGAATAATTGGATAAAACATTTTCTCAAATGCCAAACCTGGAAAAGTTGATAAACCAACTCTTTTTGTTTTTTTTACTTATTAAAAAGGTGTTTAAATCTACATAAAATCTTGAATCTTTTCCACTCATCTTCCTCATTCATCGCCTCAAAATTTTTGAAATTACTTGCAGCTCGGTAAATTGAAAATCTATGGTCAAACTAATTTTGCAGAAATTTTTTTTTTTGTACAATCGTAATCTGAATTACCGATTTATTAATAATTTGTTTCTATTTCACTTCTAAACTAATTGTTCATATCTTTAGAAATTCTGCAGATTATTAATAGATTTAAACAAATGCCAAAAATTTGCCAAATAAATTCCATTCGCCTTCCTTCCTTCCTTCCTTCCTTCCTTCCTTCCTTCCTTCCTTCCTTCCTTCCTTCCTTCCTTCCTTCCTTCCTTCCTTCCTTCCTTCCTTCCTTCCTTCCTTCCTTCCTTCCTTCCTTCCTTCCTTCCTTCCTTCCTTCCTTCCTTCCTTCCTTCCTTCCTTCCTTCCTTCCTTCCTTCCTTCCTTCCTTCCTTTCTTCTCCTTCCTTCCTTCTATCACTCTTTCACCTAAATGGAAGATTTGAACTTAATAAATAAAATAGTTTCTATTTTTGCAACTATACCTCACTCTAATACTACGATTGGATAGAGCGAAGTTCCACTCATTTTGATAACTATACATCTGAGTTTTCAAAGTTTGTTGATAATATCCTTGAGAAAGAAAAAAAACGCCATCATTATATGGAGGGTGTGGGGCTTACGTGTCCGCGTTCCGCTCACTTCGGAACAGATCTGTGACCAACGTGCTAGATAAGATAAGATAGGGAACGGAAAATATGATGTTTTAAATTTTATAATGTGGAGAAGTTTATGGGAGTTGACGAATATTTAAAATTAAATTATCCTTTAAACCAATGTGTAGTAGAAGTTTTTGAGCTGTCCTTTTCTGGGTCAGACGATTATCCGTCTTCCGGTATTAACTGAGGATTCAGAGGAAATGAAGAATATTCACGATGCATCATTCTCCCATTTCCTGTTCCCATCATCACGCGTTCCTCTAGGGTCATTTTATCTAATTTTAAATCGAATGATTTGGCTATTCCAATGAGCGAATTATAAATCCTATTAAACACGGATAACAATCATTTTTTTAAAATATGTTTAATATATCCATTACAATCATAAGGTATAATAAGTGACTACAGAAATGTTTGAATCGTGAATTTATAATAAGCGATTTTGATATCAAATTTTCACGATAATAAATATATTTTTTTAAATTTAAAAATCTCATTTTTGAGAGGAAATGTAAATTCTCAAGCTTATGTAAAAATATTTAAATATGGATTATTTTTTTGCAAAAGATTTTAATATAAAATTAAAAGTAATTTAAAAAGTTTAATTTTTCTAAAATTCTTACAATAAAATGTATACATTTTTTCGGCAGAACTCAAATTTTAGAATTAAATAAACTAGCTTAAAACATAATGCTAAATTTTGCCCTCAGATTGGGCCCTGACTCCAGCATTATATACATAAATGTATAAATAACGACTACAGAAACATTTGATGTGCGAATCGTAGAATTATAAACGATTTTTTGTTATAATAAGATAATAAGTTTGCCGTTTTTTTTAAAAAAATCGCCGAAATGAAACCGCTTAAGAATTACTACTAATTGGGTGCTAAACTAATTTCTATTTTTTTTTTGTATTATCGAACAAATATATAAAGGTATTCGAACTAACCCCGGTATAAATAAAAAATTTTTATTATTTTAAATTGTTGAGAGATCAATAACTTTTTAATCAATTTCAAATACTTTTTATTTTTAAAATTCTATGAACAAAATCTAATAATTTTAATATAGTTGACAATACATCTTCTTCTTATATTATATTGAGATATTTTTTGAATCGCTAATCACAGGTTATTCAAATTCGTATTTAAAATCGATTGATAGTGGCTTAATAAGTTATATATACATTATAATGAGTTTGAGCGTAGTAAAAATTTTCGAAAATTGAATTTGATATTCAATTATTAGACTATGATTGATATTTAATCAAATTTATTATTAACTTTATACAGAAGTTTAGCGTAAGATTTTAGCGAAATTGGGGAGATAAGATAGTAATAGAAGAAGCCGCTAACAGAGTTGTTAAACCCCTCTCGGTAGGTAGAATTACGTGTCAATTTTCTATATGCATTTTCTCATCTGTTTCTAATTATTGATTTTATTTGAAATTGGTTTGTCTTTTTTTCATTGCTTATGTGTAATGTGTAACTCTACATTTTCATTTAACCGTCATTTTATTAAATTAAATTCAACGTTTAATATATTTGTTGTACAATGGCGACCCGATTATTAAGATTTTAGTAAAAAAAATTTAGAGATTTGGCAAATATAGGTTCCAAACACGGGAATTTAGATACGACTTCCCCTTACTTTGCCTAGTTTTAGTTTTTCCCATCTTACTTAGTAAAATTCCATTTTTTTTGTTTTAGACACATGAAAACTTTTTTGATGTCGCAGCCACCCCCCCCCCCCCCCCCCCCCCCCCCCCCCAAAAAAAAGATTGGAGAATACGTTATTTCATGCTGATAATCTTTATGCATTATAATTTTAATATTTTGTTACGATAAACAACAACAAAATTTGGTTATGAAAAATAAGGATTCACTATTTATCCCCCAGTAAAAATCAAAAATCGGAAATCTGTGATTTCAGGCTGATTTGTGTTTTCAAAGCATCATAAAATATTGTAGATAAATAATAGAAATGCTTCTTAAGAATTCGTTATAACAAAATATGTGTATTCAAGAATGTGTTTTCTTCCTGGAATTAATCTTTTTTCACTAATTAGAATTACTGAAGTTCTGAATAAAGAACAAAAATTTATTTATGCTATCCATGAAACTTTTACCATACCTTATACCCTAACGATGCAACTTTATTAAGATTTACCTAAATTTTAAATTTAAGCAATTTCGTTTATTTCAAGAAAATTTAATTTGACATTAAATAAAAATAAATACATTTTTCAATATTGATAAAATCGCTAAATTAATGTGAATTTGTGGTTAGATTGTGTTCTATTGTGAATTTCTGTCATTTAATTTGATATTAAAAAATATAAATACATATTTTAAATATCATTATTCAATATTGATAAAAACGCCAAATTAATTTGACTTTAGGGTTAGATTTTCTATCGTGAATCTCTGTTCGAATCGTTGTACGCAGTCAACCTTATTTTCGAAATTATTGGCGTTACCCTTGCAACCTCCGTAATTAAACTCTTTGCAAATACCGGCATGGGCATCATAATAATATCTTGGAATTAAAGCGTAACAAGGTCCTAAAACTATGGGAAGTTTACATGGAGAATCTGAAAATATAAGTTTGTGTAAGCATCATCAAAATAATTATAAATTATTTAGTCTTGGGTATTAAGGAGATTAAAGCAATGTAAAATGACCCCAGTGCTTCCAATTAGTTCGGCCAAAAGGCATTTACGACATTACTATATGATTTCTGTCAGGTGAATTTTTAAAAAAATAAAGAAATTTTGATATATATAATTTATATTTATCAAAATGATCATTATTCTTACCGCTAACATTTCCTTGGCACTTTTCAGCACAATCCAGTGGATTAGTGAAGAGATTAATGTTATTTTTACAATTCAAATACTTCGCATGACAAGGTGGTAAGAGAATAAAAATACGTTTTATAATGTATAAAATTATTTATAAAAAATATATATATAGGATGCAGAAACCGCTTTGCCACACAATTTTTGACATTCTCTAAAACCGCGGAATACATTGCTAGTGCTTCTACAAGGATAAAGGAGAAACTCTTTTCAAGTCTTAATCGAAGGATCGAAAGACTGTTGCTTCAAAATGGCATAACTATAATCCACACCATGTTGTTATATATATAGTGTTAATAAATGTCATCTCGCATTTAACTAATAGGAGCATTTAAATAATGAATAACAAAAATAAGAATATCTTTTTACATTTTTCACCATTCCACAATTCAAATTTCTCAAAATTTTATATATTACAATAATAATATAAATAAAAAAATATAATGAACATTAGAATAAAATAACTAATATGTATGAATTTGGCAAGATCCATTATTATAATCATATTTATGAATTTTTATGAATTTTTATGTTTATTATTGGCAGGGCATCAATTTTGAATAATACAAGAATACTTATAAAGTTAACAGTTAATATATATATATAATTTAATAATAAAAACAAATTTTTCTTTTTGTATTTAACTATTCTAAATCTTTTAAAGAATTATCCTATTATTTAAAATTATAACAAAAATATATAAATATATATACAGAGATATAACAAACAGTCAAAGAGAACCAAGCTTATATTATGAAATTACTAGTGTACTTCCTACTACTATTAGGTTAAATACGAGATAAAATATAGTATACAATATATAAATATATAACAACATTTAATTAGGTGTGGATTATAGTTATGCCATTTTGAAGCAACAGTCTTTTGATCCCTGTACTAAGACTTGTAAAGAGTTCTACCATTATCCCTGTAGAAGTACTAGCAATGTATTTCGCAGCTTTAGACAATGTCAAAAATTGTGTGGTAGACCGGTTTCTGCATCCAGTGAAGGTTTTTTATAAAATAGTATATATATATATATATATATTCAAAATTATTTTATAGATTATAAAAAGTATTTTTATTCTCCTACCACCTTGTCATGCGAAGTATTTGATTATCAGCATTGCAAAAATAACATTAATCTCTTCACTAATCCACTGGATTGTGCTGAAAAGTGCCAAGGAAATGTAAGCGGTAAGCATAATGATCATTTTCGATAAATGTAAATTATATATATCAAAATTTCTTTATTTTTTTTAACATTCACCTGAATGAAATCATATAGTATTGTCATAAATGGCTTTTGGCCAATTGGAAGCACTGGGGTCATTTTATATTGCTTTAATCTCCTTAATACCCAAGAATAAATAATTTATAATTATTTTTGATGATGCTTACACAAACTTATAATTTCAGATTCTCCATGTAACCTTCCCTTAGTTTTAGGACCTTGTTACGCTTTAATTCCAAGATATTATTATGATGCCCATGCCGGTATTTGCAAAGAGTTTAATTACGGAGGTTGCAATGGTAACGCCAATAATTTCGAAAATAAGGTTGACTGCGTACAACGATGCGAACAGAGATTCACGATAGAACCAAATCTAACCCCTAAGTCACATTAATTTAGCGATTTTATCAATTGAATAATGATATTTTAAATATGTATTTATATTTTTTAATATCAAATTAATTTTACAGAAATTCACAATAGAACACAATCTAACCACAAATTCCCATTAATTTAGCGATTTTATCAATATATTTTTTAATGTCAAATTAAATTTTCTTGAAACATTTGTATTATAAAAATAAACTAAAATGCTTAAATTTAAAATTTAGGTAAATCTTAATAAAGGTGCATCGTTAGTGTATAAGGTATGGTAAAAGTTTCATGGATAGCATAAATAAATTTTTGTTCTTTATTCAGAACTTCAGTAATTCTAATTAGTGAAAAAAGATTAATTCCAGGAAGAAAACACATTCTTGAATACACATATTTTGTTATAACGAATTCTTAAGAAGCATTTCTATTATTTATCTACAATATTTTATGATGCTTTGAAAACACAAATCAGCGTGAAATCACAGATTTCCGAATTTTGATTTTTACTGGGGGATAAATAGTGAATCCTTATTTTTCATAACCAAATTTTGTTGTTGTTTATCGTAACAAAATATTAAAATTATAATGCATAAACATTATCAGCATGAAATAACGTATTCTCCAATTTTTTTTTTTTTGGGGGGGGGGGGGGCTGCGACATCAAAAAAGTTTTCATGTGTCTAAAACGAAAAAATTGGAATTTTACTAAGTATAGGAGAAAACTAAAACTAGTCAAAAAGTAAGGGGAAGTCGTATCTAAATTCCCGTGTTTGGAACCTATATTTGCCAAATCTCTAAATTTTTTTTACTAAAATCTTAATAATCGGGTCGCCATTGTACAACAAATATATTAAACGTTGAATTTAATTTAATAAAATGACGGTTAAATGAAAATGTAGAGTTACACATTACACATAAGCAATGAAAAAAAGACAAACCAATTTCAAATAAAATTAATAATTAGAAACAGATGAGAAAATGCATATAGAAAATTGACACGTAATTCTACCTACCGAGAGGGGTTTAACAACTCTGTTAGCGGCTTCTTCTATTACTATCTTATCTCCCCAATTTCGCTAAAATCTTACGCTAAACTTCTGTATAAAGTTAATAATAAATTTGATTAAATATCAATCATAGTCTAATAATTGAATATCAAATTCAATTTTCGAAAATTTTACTCAAACTAATGATATATATATAACTTATTAAGCCACTATCAATCGTTTTTAAAAAACGAATTTGAATAACCTGTGATTATCGACTCAAAAAATTACTCAATATAATATAAGAAGAAGATGTATTGGCAACCGTATTAAAATTATTACGATTTTATTCATAGAATTTTAAAAATAATATGTATTTGAAATTGATTAAAAAATTATTGATCTCTCAACAATTTAAAATAATAAAAAAAAATTATTTTATACCGGGGTTAGTTCGAATACCTTTATATATTTGTTCGATAATACAAAAAAAAATAGAAATGAGTTTAGCACCCAATTAGTAGTAATTCTTAAGCGGCTCTTTTTCGGCAATTTTTTTAAAAAAAACGGCAAACTTATTATCTTATTATAACAAAAAATCGTTTATAATTCTACGATTCGCACATCAAATGTTTCTGTAGTCGTTATTTATACATTTATGTATATAATGCTGGAGTCAGGGCCCAATCTGAGGGCAAAATTTAGCATTATGTTTTAAGCTAGTTTATTTAATTCTAAAATTTGAGTTCTCCCGAAAAAATGTATACATTTTATTGTAAGAATTTTAGAAAAATTAAACTCTTTAAATTACTTTTAATTTTATATTAAAATCTTTAGCAAAAATTAATTCATATTTAAATATTTTTACATTTAAATTTAAAAAAATAAATATATTATCGTGGAAAATTGATATCAAAATAGCTTAATAATTACTCAATTCACGAATCAAACATCTCTGTAGTCATTTATTATATCTTAGGTATGTAATGGATATATTAAACATATTTTAAAAAAATGATTGTTATCCGTGTTTTATAATTCGCTCATTAGAATAGCCAAATCATTCGATTTAAAATTAGAAAAAAAACCCTTATAGGAACGCGAAATGATGGGAAGGTGGGAGAATGATGCATCGTGAATATTCTTCATTTCCTCCGAATCCTCAGTTAATACCGGAAGACGGAGAATCGTCGGACCCAGAAAAGGAGTTTCCCTACTTCTACCCTATAATACCCCCCCCCCCTCCCAGCTCAAAAACATTTACTACACATTGGTTTAAACTCATTTAAAACGAATTACCCCAAAAATTTTAGGATAATTTAATTTTAAATATTCGTTCAACTTCCATAAACTTCTCCACATTACAAAATTTAAAACATCATATTTTCCGTTCCCTATCTTATCTTATCTAGGACGTTGGTCACAGATCTGTTCCAAAGTGAGCGGAACGCGTACACGTAAGCCCCACACCCTCCATATAATGATGGCGATTTTTTTTCTTTTTCAATGATATTATCAACAAACTTTGAAAACTCAGATGTATAGTTATCAAAATGAGTGGAACTTCGCTCTATCCAATCGTAGCATTAGAGTGAGGTATAGTTGCAAGAATAGAAACTATTTTATTTATTAAATTTTCCATTTAGGTGAAAGAGTGATAGAACGAAGGAAGGAAGGAAGGAAAGAAGGAAGGAAGGAAGGAAGGAAGAAAGAAAGAAGTATTTTGTAATCATTGAAAGACACATAATGGCGTAATAGATCATTCTTAGGTTATATTATTATATATATAATTTCGCTTTGTTAATCGGAAAAAAATTATTTATAAAGTTTCATTTGCTTCTCGTCATAGTTTACTGCTATAACTTACATAATCAAATTTTTTATGCCTTTTTTTAAATCTAAACCAAGAAAGAAAAAGAATATTTAACCTTGAATTGTAAAATTAATTTAATTCTTATCCAAAAAAATGCTGTTAATATTCTTACTCTATAATTAACCAAAAAATACGTTATATACAAATTATTTTTTTTTTTTTTTTCCACTAAAATAAAAGAAGGATTTATTTCTTATTCCTTCACAGTTTGACTATTAATTAAAGGTAAATATTTTAAAAAAATTCTTCTTATTTTTTGTTTAACCCCCCCCCCCCCCCTTCACTCACTCTAAATATTCTAGTCTATCTGTTTTTTTTTCCTGAATACCTTCCTTGCAAATCAATCACCTTTAGTAAGAACCCTAACCCAAACCCTAACATCGCATAATATTTATTTGTCAATCTTAATCTAGTGAACATACATTTTATCTTCCTAGAAGCCAACTAGTGCTGTTTAACTGCTCGTTTTGAGGACTATTTTTTAAAAAATGGATACTAATTCAATATTTTGCCAGAAAAAATATTGTCTAAACCTCGAGTTTTCGCTAATATATGTTCTAGGAACCTTTGTTCCTTTTCTATGAGTAAAATCTTCAGGCTTGCGTAATATTTTTATGGATGAAATGTTGAATGAACGTCACTATAAATTTAGTGTCCGCCACACTCCTTTTTTTTTGAAACGCCGTCTACTGCTTTATTTTCACGCGTTCCTCTTCTCTTTAAACCGATTCGAACGGCTTATTTTTTTGTGCTTTTTATAAAGTTTGACATCACATTCTCACATCAAAAAAATATATATTTTCTTAGCATTTGCCATTTCCTAAATTCTACACTTTCGCCCGTTGTATTAGCTTTTCGCACTTGTTAATTTATAGATTTGGCTCCCACACAAATTAATTCACCCCCCCCCTTAGAAGCACTAATTATACTGTTCCCTTTATTCACCTCCGCACTATTCATTGAAATCTCTAAAGGTGCAACACTCATTTCTAAACTAGAAACCGCTAACTCCACTCTCATTACACATCCCCTCGTCGTTGATATATTTTTATAAACGCAAATATTAATCAGATTATTCCTTCGCACATTGTTCCGCGTACAGAGCCGTTCCTCTCAGCGAAATCACACAAGACTCATTAAAAAAAATTACACCTCTTTCCCCCTTTTCTAAGCACTAAATTTTCAGTTCTACTCTAAAATTTGTTCACAATATGAATCTCTCCCACATGCTCGTATTTTTACTATCACATTGTGCCTTCTCTATATATTATTTATTTCGCTTACTACGATTTCATTCGACGCTGTATTTGCTTGCACTTCATTTCAAATAATTTATAAGCCTAACTTCTCAAAATTCCTTATATTTTTTAAAGACTAAATTTGGGAATAAATTTATATAACTTTGGCAAAATATATCATTCCAACTATTTTTATATCGCGTATTTTTCAAGATTGATCTTTCATTAATTCAAGATTAATCTTTCTTCTCATAATTTCAATGTCGTATTTTATGGTTATATTTCTTGCAAAATTGGTTAATGTTAGCTTTTTTTTGATTATCAACATAATCTGCTTAAACAAAGGGCCAAAATTTTATTAAAATGCAATGAAGACCCACTAATTTTTTACATATACATATATAAACGGAATCATGTGGTCAAGTCCGATCTACTTTATATCTCAAACCACCAACGGATTCATACCCAGAACTTCCGGATTAACGAGCGACGCTCATATCGACTAGGCGAGAGAACGCTTCCTGAAAATTGGCGCTAAAACTTTATCAAGATTCAAGAGTAACCCCGCGTTTACAGTTAGCGGGAATCGGCTTCGAATCTTTATCAAATCAATTTATCAAAAAACATCCTCGAGGAAAAAATGTAATAATTTCGGATTCTTTTCGTGCAAACATTCCCCCCCCCCTAAAAAGTAGGATTAGGGCCTCGTGGAGCTGTAATCGAAGAATATTATTATTATGATGTCAAAGTGGGGTAACAAGAAAGGGTAAAGTGCGCAGTACAAGAATACTAAGTAGTTTAAAGGTAGTGCCCATTAATACTAAGTTAATGGTAAACAGACTTAGGTGGTATGGGCACACAATGAGAAGACCTATAAATTACATAGGAAATAAGGTTGAGAGGTTGAAAGTGATGGGCAAACGTAAAAGAGGAAGGCCAAAACTTCAATGGGGCCGTAAAGTTAGAGCCAATATAAAGAAGTATAAATTAGGTGAAAGAGATTGTATGAATAACATAAAGTGGAGAGAGATGTCGAAGGAGCTCACCACCAGAAAAGATGAAAGCTAAAGAAAGAAAAAAAAGTTTGTATTTGCAAAACAAAATGGTCTAAAATGATATCATATCAAATTTAAGCAATGCCGTGACAAAGATGAATGCAAAAAATGGTACATTATTTGTTGAAAAAAAGGAGATATGCCTCTAATGAATACATTAAATCTAAATTATACATATACATATTTAATATTTTATAAATTAGAATCCTAAAATGTATCTGAACCTTGATCGGAATCTCAATCAGTGCTGGTTAGTTTTTAAATTCTCCAAAATGATCTATTTTTCTTTTAAACGATAATTATCTGAATTTATTGATTTGTTTTCTAATTCACTTCTGAAACTATTCGTTCATCTCCTTTTGGAGGAAAGAAATTCTGCAGACTCAAAGGCTACATGTTAGTATCAAATAAATCTCATTCGTTATTCAAAAAAGTTTTTGAGATTATTTCCTATATCGTATTTTTTATCCACACTATTTACAGAAATTCCCTTTATGTGGTAACTTACCACGGATACATTCTATCATAATATGCTGTTGCCAGCTGGGTAGGGCAATGGTGCATTACAATTTATGAAAGAAAGAAAGAAAGAAAGATAGAAAGAAAGAAAGAAAGAAAGAAAGAAAGAAAGAAAGAAAGAAAGAAAGAAAGAAAGAAAGAAAGAAAGAAAGAAAGAAAGAAAGAAAGAAAGAAAGAAAGAAAGAAAGAAAGAAAGAAAGAAAGAAAGAAAGAAAGAAAGAAAGAAAGAAAGAAAGAAAGAAAGAAAGAAAGAAAGAAAGAAAGAAAGAAAGAAAGAAAGAAAGAAAGAAAGAAAGAAAGAAAGAAAGAAAGAAAGAAAGAAGGAAAGAAAGAAAGAAATTCGCGTCTAATATTTGAAAAATAATTATCGTAGCACACGGATCAGGACCGGTTTTCATAATTGCTAGCGGTTAGCGTTGTCAAACGGCTCAGTTTTTGAGCCGATTTTTAAAAACGGCTAACTCGACATTTTCATCCAAGAAAAAAAATAATTATGCAAGTCTGAAGATTATGCTCATAGAAGGAACACGGGTTTTTTCCGGCTAAAATATCGAGTAAGCCGGTTTTAAAAAATCGGCTCAAAAAAAACCGTTTAACAACACTAGCGGTCATTTACAATGGTCGACATTAATTATTATCGGTTGTTACCCGGTATCTGAGAGCTGAGAAGAGTATATCAGTTTTTTTTTTATAAAATATTATTTAGCGCTTGCTTCTTTTCTATGCTCCCTTGTAAATTATAGAGACCGTGTAACCTAAAAATGAGGTCTAAAGAGGCCGCTAACATCCAAGTCTAAGTTATAGTTTAACGACGTTGGCTAAATAGAAATATCTTTTTTTACGTATATTTTTTTTTTTACCATTCCAACAATTCAAATTTCTCAAAAATTTTTATATTTATAATAATAAAAAAATAAATAAATATAATGAACATTAGAAAAACCAATATGAATTTGGCAAGATCCATTATTACAATCATATTCATGAATTTTTATTATTATTATGAGCGGGGCATCAATTTTGAATAATACAAGAATACTTATTAAAGTTAACAGTTGATATATATATATATATAATTTAATAATAAAAACATATTTTATTTTATTATTTTATTATTTAACTATTCTAAATCTTTCAAAGAATTATCCTATTATTAAAATTATAACAAAAATATATAAATATATATATACAGAGATATAATAAACAACCAAAAAGAACAGACTTTTCAAAATTACCATTATGAAATTACTAGCATACTTCCTACTACTATTAGGTTAAATGCGAGATGACATTTATTATTCACTATATATATATAACAACATTTGATTAGGTGTGGATTATAGTTATGCCATTTTGAAGCAACAGTCTTTCGATCCCTCTACCAAGACTTGTAAAGAGTTTTACCATTATCCCTGTAGAAGTACTAGCAATATATTTCGCAGCTTTAGACAATGTCAAAAATATTGTGGCAGAGCGGTTTCTGCATCCAGTGAAGGTTTTTTTTAAAATAGTATATATATATATATATATTATTCAAAATAATTTTATAGATTATAAAACGTATTTTTATTCTCCTACCACCTTGTCCTGCGAACCATTTGTTTATCAATATTGCAAAAATGACGTTAACCTCTTCACTAATCCACTGGATTGCTCCCAAAACTGTCAAGATAATAGCGGTAAGAATATGATCACATTTTCAATATATTTCTAAATTCCTAATCACGTGACTCCGAAATCATATGTTTAAGGCCCAACTAATTGGAAGCACTGGGGTCTTTTTTTCATTTCCTTCAAATTTAAAGTCGGGATTTTCATTTATTTTTGTCTCTCCTTATCAATCTTTATCCATCAATTTATTACAATATTTTATAGATTCTCCGTGCAACCTTCCCCAAGTCGTGGGACCTTGCGAAGCGTTAATTCCAAGATATTATTATGATGCCCATGCCGGTATTTGCAAAGATTTTAATTACGGAGGTTGCAGGGGTAACGCCAATAATTTCAAAAATAAGGTTGACTGCGTAAGAAAATGCGAGCAGAGATTCACGATAGAACCTAATCTAACCCCAAAGTCATATTAATTTAGCGATTTTGTATTGAATAATGATATTTAAAAATATGTATTTAATTCTTTATAATGTCAAATTTTAAATTACATAAATTCACAATAGAACCAAAAGTCACATTAATTAACGATTTTATCAATAGGTATTTATTTTTTTTCAATTTCAAATTAAATTTTCATGAAACATTTGTACAAATACTAATTAAAATGCATAGCCTAAATAGATTTTTGGCACATCTCTATTAGATTCTCTCAATTTTTGTTCGTTATTTCAGAACTGCAGTAATTCTAATTACTGAAAAAAAATGTCGTTCTAGGGAAAAAACACATCTTTTTTATATATAATGAATTCTTTTATTTATCGTAATATAATTAAAATAAATATAAAATTATGTTTTAAAAAATTATAAAAAAGCATTTCTATATTTTTATCGCCAATAAATTTAATGCTTGCTTTGAAACGCTAAACCACAAATCACCTTGACAAAACCATATCCTCCATTTTGATGGTTGCACGACGTCAAATAAGTTTTCATTGGCCTAAAAAACTAAAAATAAAAAAATTTAAATAAAATTTTATTAATTATTTTTTTTTATTCAGTGAATTTGGAATTTTTTGTCATACAAAACAAACTTATAATAAAACTTTTAAATTTATAATTATACCATACAAAATGATGAAAAAAAAATTATAAAAATTTCGAATAAAATTAAATATTATTTTTTTTAATGATTATTAAAAAAATACTTATAATTTCTATCTTCTTCCTAATTTCGGCGATCTAAAGTGAATAAATAATATAGTCAATAATTAATAATATCAAAAAATAGGTATGCGAACTCGAACTCTGATTCATGAATTATCAACTAGCCGGAATTATGAAAACAGGAACATAATCGAAACCGATTTTCTAATGAGAGGTTCTAACTCAACCCGGGTCCATTTTACCCCGGGTTTGATGAGTTGTCTATCAATTTGTCTCTGTTTGGTCCGTGGTCTTAAATTACCAACCAAACAATTTTACATTCCTGAACCCGGGTTTGTGTTCAAATCCATGATCAAAATCAATTCCTAAAGATTTACTATAAAAAAACAGGTAAGTGGAACAGATTTATAACTTAATAAACCTTATTAATCGATTTCAAAATTTACCAAATTTGAAATAGCCTTATTATTTCGATTCAAAAATTTCTTTATAATTATAATGTAAGGAGAGATGTGTATACGGTTTTATTTCGTTAAAATTAAAAATATACGATATTATTTTTTAAAAAAAAAAATTATTTAATAAATTTATAAAAATAAATTATAATAAAAAAAAATGTATTTTGCCGGGGTTAGTTCGAATACCTTTAAGTTCGAAAATACAATTAGCCACCCCCCAACTATCAGTATTTCTTAGCGGTTTCAATATTTGCCGATTTTTGAAAAAACGGTTAACTTTAAAAAAATATCTTTTGTTTAAGTATATATATACAAAACGCTTAATAAAATAAAAATTTATATATTCGAAATTATAATTTTAATATCTAAAATGTTTCCGTAATCCATAAACAATTGGGGGAGGGGAATATGGATATGGAACACTATAATACTCAGCCGACGATATATCAATTATTGTTCATAGCGGAATGGTATTATAATATTCTTAAAATTAATCATGCTTTTAGGGTTGCTATTCAACAACGCTTTCAAAGATGCTTTGTTATGAATGCATGTTCAGTTCGTAATAAGAATGGGATCTCTGGATATCGTAGTAAATATTTAGGTTCTAGATCGAGTCTAGTTCAATTCAGGGAATTCTCTTCTAGGTATGTAATAAGGTTCAGTGTATTACAGAATGGGATCTCTGGATATCGGAGTAAATATTTAGGTTCTAGATCGAGTCTAGTTCAATTCAGGGAATTCTCTTCTAGGTACGTAATAGGTTCTGTGTATTACAGAATGGGATCTCTGGATATCGGAGTAAATATTTAGGTTCTAGATCGAGTCTAGTTCAATTCAGGGAATTCTCTTCTAGGTACGTAATAGGTTCTGTGTATTACAGAATGGGATCTCTGGATATCGGAGTAAATATTTAGGTTCTAGATCGAGTCTAGTTCAATTCAGGGAATTCTCTTCTAGGTACGTAATAGTTTCTGTGTATTACAGAATGAGACTGGATATTGGAGTAAATATTTAGGTTCTAGATCCAGTTTAGTTCAATTCAGGGAATTCTCTTCTAGGTACGTAATAGGTTCTGTGTATTACAGAATGGAATCTCTGGATATTGGAGTAAATATTTAGGTTCTAGATCCAGTCTAGTTCAATTCAGGAATTCTCTTCTAGGTATGTAATAGGTTCTGTGTATTACACTCTGGATATTGGAGTAAATATTTAGGTTCTAGATCCAGTCTAGTTCAATTCAGGGAATTCTCTTCTAGGTATGTAATAGGTTCAGTGTATTACAGAATGGGATCTCTGGATATCGGAGTAAATATTTAGGTTCTAGATCCAGTGTCTAGTTCAATTCAGGGAATTCTCTTTAAAAAAATAATGCGGTGATTTCAATTAGATCCCCAAGAAAAATTAGAGGGGAAATAATTATTTGTTTGAAGAGAAAAGGTGTGATGTTTTAATTTTTCAAAGGGATGGCGGCGATTAATAAAATGCAAGTATACTAAAATAAATAATTTTAAATTTTATAGGATGTTTAGAGTCCTGTCCGAATCTAAGGTCAGAATTTTAAAAAATCAATTTCTCCTGTGTACAGGGATTTTCACTTATTTTTAGCATTGGTTTAAATCAAGGTTAAATAATAAAATATACAACCAATTTTAAAAATTATAATAATATGATATATATAAAAAAATTATTTTCCCGGGGTTAGTATGAACACCTTTGTTGAGTAATATGAAAAAAAAAATATATATATAATTTCCCGCTTCTTAAACATGTTGTATTTTAAGATTCTTTAAGTTTAGAAATACTAACCCCCCCCCCCTCCTGTGTTTTACTGATAAAATATTAAGAGAAGTCATATATCTTACAACTGATAGATCAAAATTAAAATCGAACGTTTGCAATTGTGTAATAAAAGATGTAAATTTTTTTAAAAAATTTATATAAATTAAGCGTTATTGTGCTTTTCTCCAGAAAGATCATTTGTTTTTTGAGCTAGTTTATTAAATTTTAAAAATTTGACCTTTTTGCTGAAAATGTATACCTTAATTCTATGAATTTTTGGAAAAATTAACCCTTTAAATATATTATTAATTTTATATTTTAAAATATTTTGGCAAAAATGAATCCATATTTATTTAAATGTATAATTTAGAATTTCGTGGCCAAATAGTATGCAAACTACGTGTGCTCGAATTACAATTACCCTCCCAGATTTTTCAATTTAATAACATTGCAGAAGAAAATATATTGACAAACATCACATCTGTCATTCCTAAAAGTGTCAGAAAATTTTTTAAATTCTGTCTTTCAAATGTCATAATAAAATATTTATTTACCGTGACACTCATCAACATGACATCATTATAATTTAAAAGAAAATATTTAAAAATAAAAATAATTACTGTATTCCTTGGGGCGAAAAGTTATTTTCGGAATTCGTCTACTCACTGAAGAAAAAAAACAATATATAAAATAGGATATCATTTTTATCTTCAAAAATTTGTATGCTAAAATTCAGGAAAATCAAATATTTCGTATATTTGGTGTATACGGAAACATATTTAAAAAAAATGATCGTTATTCCTTAATTAATAAGGATTTCTAATTGACCAATTGGAATAGCCAATCATTCGATTTAAAAAAGTTCTAAAAATATTCCAATAAGAATTACTCAAGCAAATGCCTTTTTAAAATATAGGCTTAAAATCAAGCCATCTGACAACACCAATAGTTTCGTATTGATGATAATAGTATCGAAATGATTCTTAATTATATTATTTCTCTGTTTTTTCCCATATTTAAACACGAAATTTTAATCATATTATTACAATCACTGGAGAGGGGTATTTAACTCTTAAAGGATTTTTACTTAATCTTAATCTTTGGTGGCATAGGTCAAATAAGATATATGATAAGATAATATGATTTTTCAAAAAAAAAAAACAATTATTTTGTAATCTTTGTTTTTACCGAGCTTAGTGTGAATTCCTTTTTATATTCGTTTTGAAAAATAATAAATAATAATATAATATTCATCCCCTTAAAATGGTGGTGTTTGGAATTCCTTAGGTTTTAAAGGAGTTTTATCTAATAACCCTCCCACTCTCTTCCCTATCTCCCTATCTCCCAAATACTACACATTTGTTCATGTTTAAGAGTAGTTTTATCATTTATATTTGAATAATATTCAAAAATTCTATATTTAATATAACAAATTATGGGTAAGTTATAAAGTCATTGAAACCTAGGGAAATTTTTTTTAATATTATTTTTAAATATTCGATCCAGTGATGGCGATTGGTGTATTTTTATTGCGGGTATTAGTTGAAGATTTTTTTTAAAAAAAATTAATTAATATTAATTTAATGAATAAATATATTTTTTGCCCTTTTCTATGGTATTACATAAATATTTTTACGCGAGCGTATACAAGAACAATGACGTTTTTTTTAAACATAGTATATCAAGAGCTTCTTATTAATCTAATCACGCGTGTTGTTATAATAAGTGAAATTGGAGAAAAAATGCATCATCAACATGTTCCAAGCAGCTATTCTGCATGGAAGGAGAACAAGAAGAAAATCTTTGTGAATATTCTTATTTTCGTAAATATAAAAACATTATGTCAAATTTTGAGTAAATTAATTTAATTAAATTTTTTTTAAATGGTATAAATTTATATAGAACTATTTTTTTTTTGTTTTTGCTTAAATATACCTTATATTCTATATTTATAATTGTTTAAACATTACGTTTATTCGAATAAATAGCTTAATTATTTAAGTATTTGATTTAATAGTCCTCCAAACTTAGAATCCAATAAAAAAAATTATTAAATCTTGAAGTTTAGGTGAAATCAGCTAAAAAAAATATATATTATAATGAGCCATTTTTAAATGTAAAATTGAAGAATTG